TGCCAACATTTAAAGTGAGAAAGTATATTTTCCTCAATTCTTTCTCAAAACAAAGAACTGTGGATTTAAACAAAACAAAACCCCCAAACAACCCCTCTCCTTCTTGAAGCCCCATGAATGGTATTTATGTCCCAAGCACTAAAGTCTAGTGATGCTTTTGAAAACCCCATTTCACATCCTCCTCTTTTTAAATGGTTACCTCAAACAGAATGGAGAGTAAGCGAGAGAAAAACCAAAAATAAAAGAAGTATATTTAAATATTGATTTAAACAAAACAAAACCCCCAAACAACCCCTCTCCTTCTTGAAGCCCCATGAATGGTATTTATGTCCCAAGCACTAAAGTCTAGTGATGCTTTTGAAAACCCCATTTCACATCCTCCTCTTTTTAAACGGTTACCTCAAACAGAATGGAGAGTAAGCGAGAGAAAAACCAAAAATAAAAGAAGTATATTTAAATATTACCCAGTATATAACAGACTGTACTTGTGCCAGTGAAGAATCTCCAAGCAAATAAAGTGTAAGTCATACAAATGTAGCTCTGTTGACAAGTATAGCTAATATTTCCTTGTAATTATTAAGATAATTTGAAAGGATGTGAACACAAACAGGCTACATGAATGCAGTATATTAAACCCCGCCCTCCCGCCTGCCCCCCCTGTAGCACATTACAATCAATAAAAAGAAAATAAAATCTGAATAATACTAGAGGTAGCAGCTGTTTGTATTTTCCATTACTCTGAGTATCTCTGGAGTCCAACCCTTCGAACATTGCTCCCCTGATAAAAGGCTTGTGTGCGATCAGCCGACATACAGCAGACTGGTAAGCTAGATGTCTGCAATAGTGTTTGAAGTATCTTTCCTACTACAGTGGAAGTAGTACTTGTAAAGAAGTGCGTTGACGACCTGTATTAAATCACAGCTCAAAAAGCTATGGCTGTTTGCTGTTTTACAAGCCACTTTAAAAAAAAAAAAAATCCACAAAGTGTTTAAGTAAGCTATGCAGTTCCACAACATATAAATAGGGTAAGTTTCAAGAGTTCCATATAACCTCTAAAATATATGCTAGCTGAATATTAATGGAGTAACAATAATATTAGTCATAGCCTTAGTTCTGGTATCACAAGAATGCATTTCCTTCATATGGGATGATTCTTGGAGGATGCTGGTGGGATCTCTTCTATGTCTGGTAGAAGTGATGGTAGTGGTGGTGGTGCTCGTGGTGGTGGTGGTGTTCATGTCTTTGTATCATTTGTCCAACCTGGCCTTCATATAAAATGACTGTGGGCAGGTCTCTCACATGCTCCTTTTCCACAACTGTCCCTGGAGACTGGAAGGTTTTGCACATTTGGTGATTCTCCTTTGCTCTCTGCTTATGCTTCTTGTGAACCTGTTGAGATTGCAAGGGGAGGTAAGGAAGATTCTGACCCACCCGTGCACTTGGGGAAGCCACTGGAATGGGGGCCCCTTGAAAAGGTTTATTTCTAACTGCCCTTCCAGGATGCACAGGGGCAACGTTTTTGCCCTGGGCCTTGGGAGACCTCACAAAGTGCTTGCTTGAGTCCTGGTTCCGCAGCCTCTGTTGGATTTCTGCAATCTTGGCATACGAACTTTCAGCTAGATTGATGTGGCTTGGATCCACCACTTGAGACTTCCTATGGTGTGCATGGAAGGTTTCAGGTTCATGAGAACGGGATCTAGTCTGATTCACAACTCTGCTTGGTGGGTCATGTTTTTGAGCTGCTGGAGGAGATCCTAGGAAATAACAAGCTGAGTTAGTCATCTAGTATTTCAAAGTTTTAATTAGTTGCATGCAGTTGGCAGGGATAGCATTATTGGCAGAGTGAATTTTTCCTAAGGAAGTGAATGCAATTATAGCTGTCTAGTTTAATTACATTTAATAATTCTGACTAGTAAACAATGCACACACAAATGTACATACCGATCTATATAAGAGTGAGAGTAGGTGTATGAAAGTCTTTACATTACCTGCTCTTGGTCATCATCTACCTGAAATTCACGAAAATAACTGTGAGTGGAATAGTAAAATCTTGGCAGAAGACAGGGAAAGGAAAGAAATCCAAATCCCTTTAATCTGGGAACAGAAGCCAAAATTACAGGTATGAACCCACATTCTCCTATTTTTGGGTCAGTTATAAGTATGAAATATGCGCTGGTATCATCTTGGGAATGAGCTCCAGCATCCAAAAATCAGTCCTCACCTCACCCATAGACTACACTTAATTGAGATATAAAGATTGTTCTCCTAGGCTCCCCTCCAAGTTTAGCTACACAAAGAAGTACTTCAAAGTAGACCTGCAGCACATCAGCCACACGGTTGTGATACCACCTTCACCAGTAATTACCCTGAGGTATTCACACAGTCCTATTCCTTCCAGTAAGTCACCGCAGACAAACCACACAGGTTCACAATTCACTGCCCCTGACGTGGGACACGCAACTGAAGAAAGAAAAGACAAAAAGGTTGCAACATAAATTACCAAATTACCTGGCCCAAACTTTGATGTGTAGTTTTCTATTCCTGCAAGATCCAAATAGTGGTTTCTCCTTTCGATGTTCTCATCAACACAATGACGATAGCACCCACTCTGGATTGT